GATAATAATATAATAATAATTCAACAGAGTTCTGGGGCTGCCTTTGGGTCTCCTTCCAGACACGCCCAGTCTACAAAAATGTTAATTGTCTTGGTTGGTCTTTGCAGCCATCTAAAAATATGATGTTGACTAAAGAAGACATTTAGATTTCCACATAAATTAACTTTTAAAATTTTCATGATTGCTTTTGTTTGCTTTCACATTGTTTCTTCCCTTTAATGCAGTGCTGTTTCCCCACTGGATACCAAGCCTCAGTGTTTRGCAGTGGCCTTCCTTTTGAATGTTGTTTCTATTGCTCTTCTGTCACAGATCACTGACCAGAGCCTGGAGTGGCAACAGAGGCGTCTACACCATTCTGTGCTCATACAGTTCACTATGATTCTCCATGAAAGGATGATTTTCTGCTTGTCTGGAACAGTAAGAGATCTTGGCATTTAAATGCCTCCTGTCATGAACACAAGAAAATTGAGCCCACCAGGCAGGGACTTTGTGGATGTGCCCCTGAAGAGGACCGTTATGGGAGCTTATTTTAATGTTGATGAGAGGAATGGCATATCACAGTTGTGTTCTATTATCACTGATTGTTGAAGTAGTTTATTATTTAAGGCACATTCAGTAAAAGACATACAATTAGTTGATTAAGATTCTTAGAATAACTAAACTGTGCTAAATTAAATATTCAAAGGCAATTTCTTCTGTCTTTTGTAGCATTTTTAACTTATTGCTGAAATAAGTAACACATCCATATGCACAGAATCATCTAAATATTTTCCAAAATGCAAGTATTTAATTTGTTTTAAAAATTTACTTGTTTAGAAACACATGTCACAATGTGGATATTAACTCTGTAAATCCACTGCATTTAAATTTTTGTTCTACATACAATTAAATATTTTACATCGCATCCATAAACTATTATTTTAAGTTACTGTGCTTTTGAATTTTCTGTTTCAATTATAAAATGTCTCCTGTTGGACACAGTTAGTACGGCAACAAAACAGCAATTATCTGATTTTATACAAGTGAACATTTTTAAGTATTTTTTGATTTGTAAGTTTTATGTACAATGAAAAAAAAAAGGTAATAATGCTGAGTATTTATCAGTTTTTGATTGTAAAAACAACATTAGACCATCCAGCGTTACTACTGTTGTGCCCACGGGATTATCAGCTTTAGCATCAAACAAAAGATTAATGTCACTGTCAAATTTCGCTGTCAAATTTGGGAGTTTGGGGACATCAGCCCTGTTTCAGTAACCAGATATTTCAAAATAAAAGCCAGATTCAACGCGTTCAATACAAAACATAACTACGACACTCCACGAGTCCTACTTTACGGCAGGAACGCTTTTTTACGGCACAACACCGGCATGTTTTGAGGTAGCTTGTTGTTAGCAGAATTGTGCAGGCTCTTTTTTAGTTTTAAACACATTTTTTTTTATCGTGAAAACTTCTAACTAGAAGAAATGGATGTCGGAGAGCTTTTGAACTATCAGGTATGCATGAAATAAATGTTAGTGAGCGCTTACTCGGTTATCCCACGATTATCTGTTGAGTAGCGTTTGCTAATCATGTTCACTCAAGTTTAGCCTCGTTATTTACATTTTAGTAGGTTCGTCAGTCTGTACTGTGAATTATCAATATGTAGCGTTTGCACAACAATGTTGTATAATTTGTTTTCGAATCGAAGAACATTAAAATTAGCATGTTAGCTTGGAGTAGAAAAGTCAGGATCGTAAAGGTGAAACAAACAACTGTCTGCTACTGACAGCCTGAGTTAGCATACATACACAATAAAATAAAATTAAAATATCCCATCTGTTGCCTCAGTTTTCACCTCATTTTTTTTCATTCTGTTTTAAATCTCTGGGTTTCCTTTCTGAACCGTCAGTCAGTCATTCAACTAATGCATGGACACATCAAGGTGGTACTGGTTTTATGCATTTTACTGGTTGCCTCGACTTGAATCCATCAAACTATTATTTGGTGTTTAAACACACACTTAGCTTGTTTTCTAGGCTGGCAATGTTGGGTAACAATATATTCAGGTGAAGGTTTCCGTCTGACCTACTTGTTTTTTTTTTTTTTTGTTGTTGTTTTACCTCACTTGTGTGCAATATATATATATATTTGTTGCTCATTGATGACATCCATAACTCAATTTTTAAGAAATTAATTTACGTGGGAGAAATATTTATTAAACATTATTATTATTGTTGTTGTTGTTATATAATTTTATATTATATAAGTATTCCATTACAACTTCAAATTAATTTTTTTCAATGTTATTGGAATAAAAAAATCGAAGAGCAGAACTTGCTTATGTGACCCATCACATCAAACGGATTAAATTCAACTGGTTAAAAATGACCTCAGCACATTTTCTGATTCCTGACTTGAAACTTGGATCATCCTGGTATAAGCTGTTCCAGAGATATAGTTTGATTTGTTTTGGTTAATCATGATAATAAATTAATATTTGGCTGAATCATATTTTTAGGTTATTCTAATGAGAATACTTTGCCATTTTAAAGAAGAAACGTCAAATAGTATTTGGACATTGGAGTTCTCCAACTGGAAACAAAGTAAAAGCTCTGCTAGCTTGCAGGGAAAATCTAAAAAAGTGAAAGTATTTTTGCTCAAAATCAGGTTTTTTGTTGCTACTGCTCAAAAAAGTGCTTCAGAAAATTAAGATTATATTCAGAAAATTCATTCAAATGATACTTTGCTAGTGTAGCGAATTACCCTATGAAATTAGGACCAGCCTAATCTTCACAAAGATAATCCAGCAAGATCTTGCAAAATGAAATCAGGAAATAATGAAATACCCCTCTGATCATGAAGTGAAAAATGAAAACTTGTGACCTGGTCAGTATTTCTCAAAATAAAGTAATTTATTTTAGATATATGAAC